AGGCGGGCCGCCCTGATTGGCGTGCGGGGCCGGCGGCCGCGCTCCGACGGCACCGGGGCAGGGCAGGGCAGGGCAAGGCAAGGCAAAGCGGCCGAGGGGCCGCGGCGGACACGGCGGCTCTGGCCTCGCTCCTGGCCCCGGCTGGCCACAGCCCCTCGACACGTTGGAGCGGAAGGTACTTTCTTTAACTTATTTTTTTATTTTTTTATTTACTTAAATTCAGTAGTAAGAGTATGGGTGAAGGTCTTAGAGGGAAAGCCCCACGAGGAAGGCTCATTCTGTTCAGCATGGGGAAGACTGAGGTCGGAGCTCACAGCAGTTCTGCAGCTTCCTCATGAGGGGAAGAGGAGGGACAGGCCCTGATCTCTGCTCTGTGTGACCCGAGGGAATGGCGGGAGCTGTGTCAGGGGAGGGTTAGGGTAGGTTTTAGGAAAAGCTCTTCACCCAGAGGGTGGTGGGGCACTGAACAGGCTCCTCTGGGCAGTGGTCACAGCACCTAGCCTGACAGAGCTCCAGGAATGTCTGGATAATGCTCTTGGGCACAGGGTGGGATTGCTGCAGTGTCATGTGCAGGGCCAGGAGCTGGAGTTGATGATCCTTGTGGGTCCTTTTAAGTTCCAGACATTTCTGTGATTCTGTAATAACTGTGTCCCTCTTAGGTTTGGACACAGCGCGTGTTTGCTTTGCCTCTGGAGCACACCTGACCCACCACCCCAGGTGTCTGGACCACCTTAAGAATCAGAGATGCTTTTTATTTTTTAACCCTCCTTCATTATCCGAGTCTCTTGTTTTCCCACTCCTCACCTTAACACGCATGAGCCCTTTGTGTTTCCTCCCAGCAGGCACCTGGGGGGGGTTCAAGGAAAAATGTTGGGTTGTCCTAGGCTTTGTAGGATTACAGGATCCCAGGCAGAATTACAGCCAAGATCATCAAATAATTGTAAATTAATGAAACACCCGAATTCAGAAGAAATTGACCAGGACGTTGGTAGAAAAACTCTGTAGGCTGCATTAAAAAGCTGAATTCAGAGCTGCAATTCCTGGGCATTCTGTCTCTTGTAGGTACACAAGCACTTAAAGGGATACAGGACTTATGTGAGGGTACACTTTGCCATGGTGTATCATATAGATCTTTGCTCACGAAAATTGCAAAGTGTGCAAAGAATTACTTTAGGTGGCTGAGGAAGGCATTACCTATATTCTATATTCTGTTTCTTCAGCTTGATATCCAGGGTTGTTTCCTTGCTAAGTCTGTTTTTTTCTCCTAATCATTTCCTGAGGCTTGCAGGTGTTTATCCTCCAGGATGTGCTCTGAAGCTTTCAGCAAAAGAGAAAGAGCTTGGCTCAACCACCAGAGAAACCCTGCAGCCCACACCCAGGCAATCCTGAACCCTCCCTTCCCTGTGAGACCCGCGCAGAGTCTCCCAGGAAGGAAAACTCCCCTCAGAAGTGGCACACTGAGAACTCTCCCCAGCCAGCCATAGAATCATCCTCGTGCCTGCTGCAGCCTTCTGATTCAATTACTCCTTTAATTTGTTTGTGGGGGTGCCTTTTTTCAGCAGGGTGGATCAGCTCCTGCAGCTGAGATTCCCATTCCACATCACTGCATTTACAGTCAGCAGCGAGGAAAGGGATGCTTCAAATTCCCAGAAGCTGACTCTAGATCATGTCTTATTTTGGTGTCAGACCTCTGGGACATTATATAAATAGCCAGTGCATCTTCCCACTGCATTTTCTAAGTTCCTAGCAGCTGGCAGCGGGTTGGAGTTGGTCATCCTGACTGGAAAACTGTTCGTCTTCTGTCCAGAAAAGGGCAACTTATTGTCCAAGGTGGCCTTAACATCTCCCCCTGTCCTTGGCACCTCCAGCAGCTTCAGAGGCAGTTTTCTGTTTGGTTTTGTAGATCGTATTTTGAGATAATTTGCTTTCTCTGCTCGCAGCACAGAGAGTTTGAGTGCCTGAACACATGTGGAACCCAGCACAGTGTGATCAGGAGAGGGCCTGTCACATGCTGTGAGTATCCCAGGTAGATTGGGCTGTACTGTCTCCTATCCCATCAAACTCTGGGCTGCAGCAGCTGAGTGCCTAGTATGTCCCTTTCCCTTCAAGGACATACCTCCTTGGAATGTACACATATGTATATATCCCTGGATATATATCCCTGGTATGTCCCTTCCATGCAAAGGGGCCCAGCACCAAGAGCAGGGCCCTGTGCCCTGAAGTGCTCCAGCTTCCTGCAGTGACTTGTGCTGTCATCAGGCTGAGGGGCAGTTGGGACATTAACCTCACACTCCTCCCACTCCGACATCTTCCTTGTAAACATCCCGTCCCGCTCAAGTCCTGTGTTATCACATCCTCTCTGCTCTGCCCAGACACTATTCTGGGTTTAGCTCTATATGCAGAGCACACAGCTGGGCATGCCAAAATCCAGACAGGCAGCAGGACAGAACAGTAACTTGGTTGAGCTGCTGACATATCACAAGTACTGCGTAAGAGTGGAGTTGTTGAAGGGTCTTCTTAAAACTAAAATCATCTGCTTGAGCCCTCCTTGGAAAGCCAGTTTGCTTCCTTAGATGTGTTCAGCAGCTCTACCTCACTCCACGCAGATGCAAACCTGTGCATGTGCATGAAAAACCTTGGTAATGATGGAAGGGAGCAGAACAGAGAGCTTGGAAGCTGCAGCACAGTAAGTTTACACAAGCAGCAAGTAAAACACCCATTCCCGGTGAGTCAGTCCTGGCCGTTTCCTTCATTTCCTCCAAGGCTCGCTGTAAACATCCAGCGGTAGCGGCCCTTCTGAAATCCAGTCGTCTCCCTTCCTGCTCCTTGTTTACAGCTTTCCTTCAGCAGGGAGCAGAGTTCCAGCCTCCTGCACTGCATTTCACTGCAGCAGGCTGATGAGAGAAGTGCAGACCCTCCCCTGGTCTCGGCTCAGTTTTGGTACCACAGTGCTCTTGTTGCTTTTGTGGGTACCAGCACCTTCTTGAGCTACAGCAGGTGCTAAGAGAGGAAAAAGCATCACAGTTGCACAATATGTTTTTTTTTTAAATCTTGAAAGCAGCCATATCATTGACAGAGGCTCTTTATCCCTACCTACAAAGCCATACCTTTGGATTCAGTCTGTTAGGATGCAGTGGGGTATTTTGTTGTTTTAAGTGTGCAAACCATGCCTCAGAGATACGAGTTGGAGCTTCCCTGCTTCAGACTGAGGTGTATCTCATGCTCTGATTTCCCCACATGACAGCCGCTAGGGAAGAGGACTATTTTAGGTTTTTTTTCTTGGTATGTTTACAGGAAGTTCTTTGTTTGTGGGAGTAAGCTTGGGTGCCTTAGTCTGAGAATCCACTTCAGTGCCAGTTGTGGATGCAGTTACAAGGGTGAACTCCTGCTGTTGTCTGGGAGAGGCATCATTTATTGCAGGTGTTCAAGAAACTATGGGCTTCACCCAGACAAATACTGATTTCCACGATCTTTCCTGAAATTTGTTAAAGGAGATGTCCAGGTGGCTGTGACAGAAGAGTTTAGGAAAATACAGAACCAGGAAATTCCTGCAGGTGATATAGCCAGAAATGTTTTTCTTTGTGAAACTAGGTATAAATCCACATTGCTGACATAACCCAATGAGTTAATAACAGTGGCTCTGAGACAAAACCCATACTGCCAAAGAACATGAACATCCCATGACAAGAACAGACCAAAATAGGCTTCCCCTATTTCCTTCTCAAGCACCTTCTCCTGGGAATTACAAGTAGCCTGCAGCCAACAAGTGACCTAGATACAATGCTGTGTTTGCTCTTATGGAGTAAAACCAGGAGCAAAATAATCCACACAAATTATATATCTCTATAATCCCTATTCAACCTTATCCAGGGTTTTGGGTTGTTTGGGTTTTCTTCATACAAAAAGCAGTAAAAATTGTTTGTACAGATGGATACCTGCATATGAGCAATGGAGGGATATTTTTTTTCATGATGAATTATGTACCAGTTACAGTGAAGGTCCACATTGGATGGATTAATTGTGAATGGCCTATTTAGTGTGTTGTACAAATTTTTTCCAAAGTAATTGCAGTGCCTGGCCTGATGTGCAAGTCAGACCATTGTGCTACACAGCTAAATTCCCCCTTTTTAACAGGGTCTGCCAGGAAAATTTAAACAAATGGACAAGGCTGCAGAGTGTCTTGAGACAAAGGCTACTGTTAGGGGCATGAGAGTAAGGGATGGTCTGGAGAGTCCTTGCCTGTCAGCCACAAAAGGTGGTAGAAGAATGTTTTTATTTGCACACATCCTGTAGCCTGACACTGCCCAACAGTTCACCTGGTTGTAAGCTCCTGCCTGTTATAAAAGGGATGAGGTGGTTCTGAACTTACGGATGTCAGCCTGGGGGAGGCTGATGGGCTTTCCCAGCTCAGTTTACAGCTTCAATCCAGACTGATACCAAGGGAAAATGACTACTCATGCCACAGCTTCAAAAAGATGCACACATGAAATGTTGGTTTTGTTGACCTTCCCTAATTCTGATGGAACTGGGGGTAAGAATGGCCAGTCTCAAACAGCAAAAAACAGGCAAGATTGCCTCAGATGTTACTTTAGTTTCACTGAGGATGTAACAAATGTCATCTGGGCAGAAGGCAAGACAAACTACTGCTCAAAGCATAGCTACAAACCGAAGAAAGAAGAAAGACATCCCTACAATGCTCAAGATTTCACGTGAACATCTGCAGCAAAACATGACTCAAAACGTCACATCTATTTACTTATATACTGTTTTTTGAAAGACAGTAGGAAATAGCTTCAAAGTTAGTCCTTTGAAGCTCCTTTGAATAAATATTGGGGAAAAAAGAGCTATACTGAAGGGGTTATATTCTCTGAAGCAGCTACCCAACTTTTAATGATCCATACTGTGGTGAGAGCAACCTGTTTCCTCACCAGTAGCATTTGGCAACTCAGTGATGAAATACTCAGTAGAACAATAGTAAGCTCCTACATTTTTAGGAGGATTTCCCTTAACCAAACCTGCAAAAATTACATTTGATATATATAATGCAGTATAACATCACATTCTTTTCTTCCTCTTAAATATATGGCTTTTTAAACCCTATTCCCACCTGATTAATATATGGAGATTCATATGGAAGTGCATGCAAGTAAATAACACAAACTTGAATTTAAAGTTTGTTTTTTTTTTACAAAATACATAGTGCAGGGAAAGGGTGGTTTATGACCAAGAAGATTAACGAGGGTGTTTTTTTGGTACTTTACACTGAATGTCAGCAAGCGTCTTTTACTGAATAAAATTATTGCAGTAATTTCTGGCCTGGAGTCCACACATATCAGGATGTCCATGGGCTACCTGAGGAGGATCCACAAAAGATACCCAGGAAATACAAGACAATACTTGTAAATAAGGATCCAAAAAATAAAAGCAGGTTGAGAAATCGCAGTGCTTGATGCTATTAAGATGCCTCCAAAAGAGCAGAAAGACATTATGGAGAAAAAACATGTACAGGGGGAATGAGTAGTGAGACAAAGAGGAAGGTAGGAAAGCTTTTAGTCGGCTTTGTCTTTTCTCCACTGTCCAAGATTTTAATTTTTGGTAATCCAAGATCACAACAATGATAAACCCAGAAATACCACACAAATTTTGTAAAATCTTAATGAGGACCAGTTATGCAAACACTTCCAAACAACCGTTCCTTTATAGCAATCAATACAGGCAATTCCAAGCTCATTTAGAATTTCAAAGAAATCCTTGGGCTTACCATTTTTCTGCCCTGAGATGCTCCATGCAAAGCATACCCCAAGTTGCTTGTTCCTGACAGGTTCCTTTCCCAGAATGAAATCCCCAATTGCAGCTTGCAGGGAGCCTTTGGGAAGCAGCTCTTGGTTTCGTGTGGTGCTTCCCATTTGTTTGTTGTGGGACTCTGAACTCTGCAAAAAGCTGGATTTTTCCCCAAATCCTTCTGTGATTCTTCTCTTACAGCTAAATCCTTGTGCAAATCTGAAGCAGAATCTTCATGCTGCAGTAAATGGTTGCCCAGCCCATGCTACCTTTCAAATCCACATGCAGGTAATTGCTGGATTGGAGTCTCAGCCTTGCTCTTTACCTGCACCTCACACACTGAGGTTTCCCTTTCTTCCTTAGCAGTGAGAAAAAGCCTAAAGATACAGGATCCAGGATAAAGAGCATTGTCTACTTTTCCCCTTTGAGAAGTCCTGGAGAACATTACTGGGACTCTTAAAATACTTCCACTCCATTTGGAAAATGCTAAACCAAGAACTTGATCAGAGTCTTCCTCTGTACTTCTGTATATGGATGTTGATGGCAATAACTTAAGTTGGGCTGGGGGCATGACACTCAAAGGTTTCTGTAGAAATGATTCTGAACAAACCAACCAATTCACTACCAGAACATCTAGAACACTTCATTCTGCTTTTCTGTTTCTTTAAGATTCAGGTAGGCCACTTACACTGTGGTCATTTCTTCAGGCTTTCTGCTCCAGCTATGAACTCTAGAAATAAATTACTGTAAGGGAAAGGTGGAATATGGATAAAGTCACACCACTGCAAGTAGTCTTATTTTAGTCTAGACCTGCTGAAATAGTTGGGAACTACCTCTACAAAACTGAGCATGGAGAGCAGAAATGAAAGCAGCACACTGCCTTAGAGGGGCTTGCCAAGTACTCTGGTTCCAGCTGAAAGGGAGGATATGGCTGTGTAGGAGCTGCACATGTGCAGGCTTTTCCCCATGCAGGCAGCTGCAGCACCCGGGTGTGTGCAGCCAGGTGGGAGGATGACACTCAGCAGCTTTCCCCTGTGCTCAGAACAGCTGCCTCTGCCCCAGCCCCATCCTGCCCCTCCCTCTGCACTCAGAAACCCCTGTGTCAGTATGTCACTTTTTCCTAGCTGAGATCCTCATATGATAATGTCCATTTAAGTCTTGTTGCTTGTGCTGTAGGTCAGTAGTAAAGATGACTCAGGCCAGCGCTTCACTTTCCTTCCTCTTGTTAGCTAGACACAAAATCCAGCCCACAAATAATCTGTCCCATTCACCAATAAAGACAATTCCCTGTTCATTAAAAAATTGCACACAGAAGTCCTTAGTTTGCATTAAGGTCCTCTTCAGTAGCTGTGAAATCAAGCAGTTAAAAGTTCAGAAATCCCAAATTCTCCCTGCACTTCAGATTACTGTTTGGGATTTTCGTTTTGGTTCTCTTGGTGGACAGAATTACACATAGTAGCATAGCTTTTACCAGGATAACACAGTAATTTTTCATCATAGTTTTTGCAGAGGAGGATAAAAGAAGCTGAAATGTGCTTCCCTCTCTGTTCAGTGTCTGTGTACAAGTCCTGGAGGTGGAGATCTCTGAGCCTGGATGTGTAATGTGTAGTGCCCCCTTACGGGAAGCTGTTCTGATGCTGATTCCTGGCTGCATCCAAGTGAGAGAACATGAGCCCAAACATCATTCTGTTTGTTGTACCTGCTCCTCTATGTTGGTTGTTGTCACACCAGCAGGTTTAAAGAGCAACTGCCCTTTTCCTCCCTCAGATGGTTTTTGTTAGGATTGGGCACTGGATTACTGTTAAGGCTTTCTGTCAGAGTGTTCAAGAAACATCCACCATTTTATTGTAGTTTCACCTTTTTAAAAAATAAAATCTCTGGGATTTTAGCCACCCATGGTGGTTTTCCTGGAAGCCCTAAATTTATGTAACATGAGTCCTGTAATTAGATAACCAATCTCATAATAGAAAAATGAGCACATATTCCTGAATCCCCTCCATGATGTTGGCCTCTTGTATACTGAGAGGATTCTCTGTGCCCCTCATTCCTCTCAGTTCTAGAAAAAGCACCTTTCCCATAGGATGGACTTTAAAGATGGATGTGAGCTTGCACAGAAATACAGTCGTGCACACAGGGTGGGGAAGCATTGTTTGTTTGGAGTTCTGATGCTGTTGTTGGAAGGGCAGACTGAAGCAGGATTGTTTCCTATGAGCAAAGGCACATTTTTCATGAATTGAGTTTTTGTTCTTAGTACACAAAAAGGGCCTATTTTCTGATTCACACTGTGTGATATTTTTAGTTTTCTTTGCATTTAGTTAAGAATAGCACAAGAATAATCCAGCAAATAAAACATAAAAGCAGAATGACCCTATAAAAAGAGTGGGGTTTCTGCCTCAGCAAAAAACTTGCTGCATTACTGTGGAGGCTCAGGGTGTGAAGTGGCTGTGGTAGGAGCCACATTCTTGTCCTGTGGTCAACATGCATTGTCACAGACTCTCTCTTATGACATTTTCACACCTCCTGAGACACATGAATTGAAGTCCCCAAGGAATCAGAGAATAAAGAAAGACCAAAAGGTGGTTTAAAAGTTGGCTTGTCACAACTGTAGGTAGATGTTTGATGTTCCATTCCCAGCACTTCCCCCTCCCTTGTTAGTGATTTTTAAAAAAAACATGTGAATTCCATCATCTTAGTAGGGTAGTCGCATCCAACCCCAGCTACCCCTGTGCCCTGGAGCACTATCAGATTGTTCTCTGTAATTCTGGGAGTTGTGCCTCATATTCCCTGCAGGATTCCCAGCAGTGGCTTGGATATCTTTGCCTTTATCCCACATCTAGTGCTGGAAAATGCCTTCCTGGCAGGTCTTAGAGTGAGTACATTTCATTTAGGGGCTGGTTTCCTGCTGGGGTGCTTTCATTGATGCTGAGTAAAGAAGGGGTGAGTGCTGGCTCCAGCTCTTCTCATTAGGAGCAAACAGATCAAGCTTTTCTCTGGGCTCAACCAGCTGATCTTGAGTCGGATCAGAATTCTAATCAAAATCCTTATCACATATATGCTCTATGGGAATCTGCCTAGATTGTTTCAGCTGAGATACCTGTTCATCAACTCAAAAACCCCCTAACTCTATATCCTTTAGGTACTCCATTACACTAAGATTTCCTGGTGGCCTTAATTATTTCTGATGGACTGGGAAGGTCAGAATGCCTCTCTATCTTGGGAGCATTCTCTGCAGTGGATCCCAAAAGAACGGTATGGTCTGGGTTTTCTTGCATTGCCTGAGGTATCTTATGGTCCTATACCATCAGATGGTGGAGAGATGATTCTATGATCTCTCTGTGAGACTGGCCCAGGCCACAGACGTTTTAATAGGAATAAAAGCGCACCACAGAATATAAAGTGTCTGGCTGCTGCTTCTCTACATGGAAGCAGGAGATAACAGAGGAGAAAGGTTGGTTGCAGGAAGGAGGTGCCATGTGACAGCATTACAAGGTCTTGACAGCATTTACCTGCTCAACAACTGCAGGTTTCTTTGAGAGGAAAGATCAAAGTTTTCTATCCAAATAATATTTTGCATTTAAATGCTTGTATTGAAATTAGGATTTGTAAATCTATGGTAGCTTTGTTATCCAAACGCAAAACTTTTTACTCATCACCCATATGTTTAATGATCCATATGACATGTATGGATGGTTTTTAGTTTATTTTTGAAAAGGGTAGATGGATTTTTCTTTCCAAAGGCTAGCTTGGGGGATAGCTTGGCAGTTCATCCTCTACTGAGAGAGCGTGGTGATGTCTGGTTAATTTCTGGTGCAGGGAATTTCACAACCTCCCACATAATCTTTTCCAGCTCTGGCTTATGCAGAGAAAGTTTTTGCAACATCTACTCTTGTTCTTTTCTCCTGTCTTCTTCTCTTTCCTGGAAATTAAGTTGGTTAGATCTTATCTCTGTCCTTCCAGCAGTGTAATCGCTGCCTCTCTTAATAGCAACCTCTTGTGTACTGCAACGGCACTACCATGTCTTGCCCTATTTCTAGCCTTCTCCTCTAGACTCAATAAACCCAGTTGTGTTTCTTCACAGAGGTTGTTTTGCAAACCTCTTAACACTGCAGAAGTGTTCCCACACCCAGCCTGCACCAGTCTGGCTGTTTGCTGTTCCCTGTCCCGTGCCAGTGGTGGCTTCTTGCTTCTCCCTAGCCATGTGCTGCTGCACCCCCTTCCCTGTTCCCAGTGGCTTCCCGCAGTGGGGTTGGCCAGGATTCCAGCGTGGGTGTGGGGGGCCCTGCTGGGCCAGGTGCTGGGAGCAGGTGCCAGGCCCCCAGGCCCTGCCAAGCACAGGAATCAGCATGTGCAGCTCACTCCTCGTGCATCCCAGCCCTGCCAGGAAACCAGTCTCCATGGGACTTTGGGGCTTTGTCCTCAATTGCCAGGTTCAGGGAAGTCACCAGCTCTCTCCTCAGGGGCTCCCAGATCACAGAATCAGAGAATGGGTTGGGTTGGAAGGGGCATTAAAGCTCATCTCATTCCAACCCCCTGCACATGTTCCACTATCCCAGGTTGCTCCGAGTCCCATCCAACCTGGGCTTGAGCAGTTCCAGAGATGGGGCAGCCACAGCTTCTGTGCCAGGGCCTCACCACCCTTACAGTAAAGAATTTCTTACTTGTATGTAATCTAAATCTACCCACTCTCATTTGAAGCCATTCCCCCTCATCCTGTCACTCCAGGCCCTTGTAAATTGTCTCCATCTTTCCTGTAAGACCCCTCTGCATATTGAGCAGTCACATGAGGTCTCTTCAGAGCCGCCTCTTCTCCAGGCTGAACAACCTCAGCTCTCTAGGTCCAGCCTCAGAGGAGAAGTTAATTAATTTCTGATTGATTTCTGGTAATCTGCTTTGGAGATTCTCCTAGGGGGAAGAGGTTCCAATTTTCTAAGGAGTGTTAGCATTTCAGGAACTCCTGAGGAGGAAGGGCTGATAAAGAATAGGTATAAGACATCTCCTTCATTTTAGGATCCAGCTTCCAGGATCAGTTCGAGTTATGTAGCTTCCTTGTATCAGCTGTTCAGTGGAAATCTTGGTCATGTGCAATGTTACAAAACCAAATCCTTCCAGTCTAAAAAGAGTGCAAACAGTATCTAGAGAGCTCATTATTACCAATATTCTAATTAATACTTTATTATAAAATTGGCACATTTTGCTGTCATTTATTTCACTCTCTTCCCAATACCCTTCTCCCCCAAATTATCCTTATATCATTCCCATGTTCCCAACAGATTCAGTGACCTGATAACAGGTATTTTATCCTACTGCCTGGACAGGACACTGCTTAAAATGCCAAAGAGCATGGACAAGGCAGTTTCTCCCTGCTGATCCTCCCATGGGGCTTCCAGTAAGAGCTTTCTGCTGCACCTGGTCACTGATCCGTGGCTACAGGAGCATTGATCCCTGGGTAAGAACCTGCTCATCTCTGATTCCTTTACATGCTTTATTTGATTGAATGAGACAGTTCCTAATGGGCAGGTGACAATGGGCTAAAAAAAGCTGTATTTCCTTCAGAAACTAGAGGAAAAAACCATCTCCAAGCCTGTCAAAATTACACCATGAAATTAATCCCCAAATCTAAAAATATGTATTAAAATCAAAAAGAGTGTCTGAACTGTTTTTGCTTTTGAAACTTCTTGGTAGAAATGGACACTGTTAGGTGGTAATTCATCTGCTGTGTTTTAGGTGTCTAGCTTAGGAACAGGTGAATCATGCCCTAGAAGTGCTGCTTCAATATTTGAAAAAGGGGCTTTTCTTTTCTATCTAATAAATCTATTCTCAGTTTGTTACTACTTAAAATATTTTACTTTTTTTTTATTTATTTAATATCCAGTTAATCTTCACTCGGGACAAGGATGGGCTAATAATATATCTTCCTGTGAGAACTGTGGTTTCAAAAAATCAGCCGTTTCACTCCTGTGATTTTGCAGTTGGTCTTCTGGCAGGGATGTGTGGAATAGAAACAGTGAAGTTGTAACACCAGAGAAGCCCAGAGGGGAAAAAGGTGAGCAAGTCAGAATCTGAAACAACACAGTCAGGAAACACAGATGATGTGGTTTCACTAAAAAGCTTGTTGGTTCACTAAGAGGGAAAGGGAATTTGTGTATGCATAGCTGTAGTTTTGCTAACTATATATAAAAAAGGCAGATTAATTTATTGCACACACTATCCAATATAGTTATATTAGATGTTATACAATACCAATACTGTTAGAGATTTTACATGTGTGTGTGTACTGTCATAAATTCCAAATCTGTGTGCAGAGCAGCTTTACAGAAAAGGGCCTGTGTGTGGAAAGTGGTGGAATAATTAGTTTTTTTCTAACACCCAGTGATCCAGCTTTTTTAAGTTGCTGAGACAACTGTAAACCTTCAGTATAGCTAAGAAACAGCTGCAGATGGGACCTCACTTAAAGGATGGTTCCCTAACATAAAGATTAACTCGGTGGGACGTAGACTTGAGTTCTAATTCATGTTCCTGTGGTTGTCTCCCAGCCCTAGGCCAGGTTTAGAGGTTCTTCATCATAGATATTTTATTCTCTCTTCTGTATTTGCTTTCCCCTCTCACTGAGCCTTTGTCGAGATCAACTAATGAGTTGCATTCAGTGTCCCTTTTCATGTATAGGCTCTTACGAAAGCTGTATTTAAAAGTAGAAGTGTGTTCATAAACTTTACTTATGAAAAGGGTGATAGACTGAGGGATAAAAGTAATTTTGTTGGGCAGAAATTAATTTACAGTAGATAAACACACTGTTATTCAAAGTAAGCAGCATCCAAGCTATTCTTGGAATGGCATTTGTCTTCAATAAGTATTTTACATAATACATGCAAGTTATTCATGGAATGGAATTCATTTTTCATAGAAGTTTTATGTAATGTTGGACACTTCGGACTCCCAGAAATTAAAGATTTGGTTACAGCATGGTCTCTCATCTTGTTTTCCATGATTTTGATCTGAGAGCTACAAAAGTGGTTGTAATGTGAGGGTTTCTCTTTTTTTAGTTCCAGACCCTGTCAACATTTCCAGTCAACTGCTGTACATGCAGGCCTACTAATAAACCTTTGCCTTCCTTTGTGACCTCTCAGAGATCACTCAGTATGTGTCTTAGTGCCCTGCTCCAAAAAGTCAGCAGCTTGGGAATATGCGATGTGTCTGTCATGACTTCACTTTTGGGAGGTATGGGATGCTATTTTAAAGCATAGCATAACTGGGGGGGCCTTTTTTTGTTTCAGGTACTGATGACAAATTCCCCTGAAAGCTCAGACATTATTCCTTGGGAAAAGTGAGTGTCAGGAGCCTGGTTATGGAGCCATGGGGCCATTTATGGACAGCCTTTGCTGGAGGTAGGTGTGGGCCACAGCAAACTTCAGCCAGGTTGGAGCAGGAGATACTTTGCCTACTAATTCATGTCACTAAATGTGCATTTTACAATTATTAACAGTGCAATTCAGTGGAAGAATGAATCAGGTCATTGGTATTTAGTCTGAATCAGAGTTGTGAAACTCAAGTGACTGTGCAGGAGGGAGGTTACCATGATGATGTGTATAATCCAGGGAAAACATGTCCTTGTGCTTACACCTTTCCTTGTATTTCTTCTTGCTTATGTAGAACACCTGAAAGATTGAAAGGCTTTGAAAAAATCCCTAAATGAAATTGCTGCTTGTCATCCCTGGATGCAATTCTGAGATTAAAAAAAACCAAACAGTTTTTGTACAGTTTTGTAATTTCCTGGGACAGCCCCAAAATAAGTGGTGGCTTTGTCCATTTTTTCAGAGTGCTGCTGCAGTTGTGATCATCATAAAGAAAAGAAAACACACAAATGAACCATGCAAAGTAAGATGGTTTGTGGTTAGACTTAATGACCTTACAGGTCCTTTCCAGCCTAAAATATTCTGAGTAGTTTTGTTTGACCTCATTGCAGCCTTCCAGCATCTGAAGGGAACCTACAGGAAACATGGAGAGAGACTATTGACAAGGGCCTGGAGTGACAAGACCAGGGGGAATGGCTTCACACTGAGAGAGAGGAAGTTTAGACTGCATATTAGGAAGAAATTCCCTGTGAGGGTGGTGAGGCCCTGGCACAGGGTACCCAGAGCAGCTGTGGCTGCCCCATCCCTGCAAGTGTCCAGGCCAGGCTGGATGGGGCTCTGAGCAACCTGGGGTGGTGGAAGATGTCTCTGCCCATGGCAGGGAGGTTGGAACCAGATGACCTTTAAAAGTTTCTTCCAACCCAAACCATTCTATTCTGTAAACACTTTCTGTACTTCTGCCTTTGGATGGAGCAAAGGCTTCAGGGAACAATATCCCCACCATTTCTTGCCCACAGCAGCAGTTGGTCAGGCACCAAGGAGCATGTCTTATGCCTCAGTAAGTGATTTTAATTTACTAAATAGATATTTTTGCTTCTGAATAAATCTCTAAATTTTTTAATTATACTTTCCATCTTTGTGTCAGAATCACTGTCTTTTGGTAGTGGCCAGTATTCAGCATGTGTCTCAGGCATGGTTTTTGACCACTATAAACATATTTTGCACACTTCTGGGTAACTGCTCATGGCTGGTGTCCTGGCAAATTTTGGTCTCTGCAGGACATGACCTTTAAAAGTACAGGCTGGCGAAACTACAACGGGTAAGGAAGCTGTGAGGAACCCTGGCTGCTTTGCCTGCCAGCAGACTTGTTCAGGCTCCCTGCATTCAGGTTGCCTTGATTCATGCAGGAAGGGGCAACTATACCAGACACAGGTCCATTTCCTTTCTGTGGCACGGACTTGGGAAATTCCCTAGGCTTTGTTTCTAACACAAAAAGTAAGACAGGGAGCTGTAGAGAAGTTTAAATAACTGCTGCCAGGCATTTAGAGCACTCATCCGTGATTGTGGTTTCCCATTTGGTACCAGGGATGATTAAACTCGGCTAAGCCTCTCCTCTGCTTCCCTCATTTTCCTCCTGTCACACTGACACAGCTGTTTGTGTGTCTGTAGAGTGGATTGGATCAGGAACTGATCCAACTAAAAATAGCCAAGGGTAGAGTGGGAAACTTACTTTTCAGCCACTGAAATCTGCATTGTGCTGCAGCTGCACACAGAGCTGGACTGGCACAAGCAGAGATCAATTACACACAGAAGAGGAGATGAGGCTTTTGGAGGAAAAGGAGGTGGAACCAGAGCTCCAATGGGATGAGCAGAGTAGTACAAACCTGCAGCTCCACTCCTCAGAGTTACTTAGCAAGAGATGAACACTGATTCCAGCTGTGTGACATCTGCTTGGAGAAGATTTCTAAACTGCACTGCCTTCTGGAGATACTCCCCTTATGCAAAAAAGGGGCACATTTCTGTTTAATGCCTCTGTTCTGCTTTCTCTTAACTCCATGCTGTTCCCCCCAGGCTCCTGTTTGATGGCATGGATTGCATCATGGCATTACCAACTTAAGGAATCCTGAGATGTTTGTTACCACCCACCCCAGACTGCAATTCTCCCTCACTTGTGCCAGCCTTGCTGTTTGTGGAGCTGTGCTGAGCACTGGATGAGAGAAGCAACCTGAATTAAAAATAACCCAGTGGCATGGCTGGGATGGCAAGAGCTTTAGCCATCCAGTATAATCTGCAGTCACAAAGCAGCAGGAGCTGTTTGCCATCTCAGGAGGTCATGAAAGCCCGACCTCAGAGATGCAAGATTCAATAAAAGGAATATGTACCTTTCAGCCAGTGAAGGAGTCTGGGGAATGAGGAGGCAGGAACCCTTTGTCCATGTTCATAAGGGACACAAGAGCAAACCTCACAGTGCCCCGATGGCAGCACAAAACATTTTCACACAGGCTTTGCTTCAACAGTCCTTCACATGATGCTTTTGGAACAAAAGTTAGTGGCAGTGTGTGCTGTTCTGCTGAGGGATGTTCTTTATTCTGTGAATTAGAGAGAAAGCTACCTGGATTTTTAAAGGTACTGCAAATATGGGGGCTGTGCTATCACCAAGAAAGGGAATAAAAGAGCCTTGTTCACAGACAGCTTCATGGTACAGCGTGAAGTAACAACTTGTGGATGCATTCCAGAAGACGATGTATTACTCTCCTCTGCTCTAAAGAAACAATGCCGCTGCTGTGATGCACCAGCACTAACATTCATGATTACACCAGCAGTGACATCACTTTCATCTACTCACAGACTTGGACAAAGCATCTGTAATTATTCATTCTCTCTTGTATTCCAAGCCGTGTCTGGTTTTCTTCTGGCATCTCTCTTCTGTTCGTGGTTCATGCCTCCTGGGTTGAGTATTTTTAAGTACCAGTCATTTCCTTTTTCTTTCCCTCCTGCTTCTGACTTAGCACTTCAATGCTTCTCTCTCCAGGAATGCTCCTGCTAGGAGGTGACTGACGAGCACTGATGGCAGAGGTGGTGAATCCAGAGACTCAGAGCCTGAGGAGTTTCAGGATCTTCTCAGGTTACATTTCTAGAGGAAGAAACTCACTTTCTCTCTACATGCATTCGTGGCTCTGGTCACAAGGAGGTGGAGGATGCAGGTGAAACCCACAATGGCAGCTGCATCCCAAATTAACCAAAGGAAAGCAAGTACCTGAAGCTTAGGACAGGATGTGGCTGCCCTGAGGTAAATCCTGAGTGCTTTCACAGCAACCCCATCCTCAGGACGGCCCTGACAGGTAACATCAAGGCTGACCATGCCAGGGAACTCGGATTCAAGAATCCCAACCAAGTACCATCATGTTTTGCCATGTTCTTTCACCTCTCTAAGAATATGAGGAGTTGTGTTCATTGATCTTAATTCTTCCTTCTCTAGACACAGGAAAAATGTTCTGTTTCAGCCCCTTGCTCCCTGCATTCCCATTGCTGCTTCTCTTCTCCCAGAAATTCTAAAAATACCTTTTCAGTAAAGCATTTTGTAGTTCCTGTTTCATCCTACATTCACATAAAAGCTTGATCATGTCCAAAGAATTAGGAAGATGCCTGAAATCCCTCTTATGTGTTCTATATGTAAACTCTGTTTTTCCTGTTTTGCTTGGTATTTCTGCCTGAAGGCATCAGGAGAAATCCAGAGGTCATCTGTTAAAGAAGCCAGGCAAGAAAAGAAAGCAATTGACCAGCAAAGAGGCACCTTCTTAAGTAAAACAGCCAGAGCTGTGGGAAGAAACTTCCCAGTCCCTGTACTGGAAAGGAACTGCTAAGGCTAGGAAAAGGGAAATGGAAGGACACGCAAACACCTGTTAAAAGCTCTGCCATCTGTAAAAGCAGGGACATATTCTGCATGCTTGGAGGTGCTCTGGGGTAAGAAAGGCAAGGCTGCCCTTTCATGAGGGGAAACACTGACAAGACAGGGACTGACATAGAGAAGTCTCCTCTGTGGTTCTGTGCTTGAGGATGGGAAAGCACAAACACCTCAACCACAGTCAGGCAGAGTTCAGCTGTGTTGTGGGGAAGGTCAGCTGGAGGGAGAGACAGCAGAAAATGGCCCAAGGCAACAAATGAGCAGCAATGACAACTGCAAGAGCTCCGGAAAGCAAAAAGAAGCAAATCCAGGTATGAAGGATCATTGAGGGGGGGGGGAGGGGGTGGTCTGGAAAGTGGTGACCCTTCTCGCATGCAGCTGTTATCACCCCCAAATTACGTCTTCCCAGCAGCTTCAGGAAGTCCAGCCCTCCCCCAGTCTTCCTTCCTAGTTGTTCATCCCATTTCAATCCCTTCCTCTCCCCCTTCCCCTCACGTGGTGGCCTGGTTTAGCCATTCACCACTGCAATGGCAAAGTGCTTTGGGACACCTTGACTTTGCCTCTGTTGTCTCTTCTGGCCTCCCTTTGCTCAGTCTCCTGAAATTTCCTGTATTTCCTTTTTTTCTTTTCAGAGATGGGGGCTCCAGCTGATGTGTCTCTGGCTATTCAGACCAGTGTTGCTGAGATGAAAAAGAAACAGAGTCTGAAAGAAAAGTCTCCTGTGCATGCAGAGACACTTTTGTTCAATACATCTCAAAAAATATTTTAGAGAATAGACATAAAATACTTCTAAAAATGTACTGAACACACAAAACACATCTCTTGTCCAAGATCAAAAGAAATATGTTTTTCCAGTCACAATAAAGCAAAGGGTATAAAAAGCTGTATTTCAGTCATCATTATTACATGTATTTTCTTTCCAGCAACGGACTGGAAAACTGGGTCCCATATAACCCAGGTGGCACTGAGAAAACAATCTCCTCAGAACCAGATTCTTCTACTAGTAGGATGCTGTGTCACTGCAGAAAAAAAAAAAAAAGACAAACCACTTTCCCTCATAAAGGAATGGTGAGCACTGAATGCCCTCCTCTGGCTTTTCAGATTCTTTCTGAAATGTGAGAAAATTAAGACCAATTCTAATAATGTCCCTCAATTCTAGATTCTTGAGCTGAGAAATTGATGGGAAACTCACTCTAGGGAGGGAGGGAGGGAGGGGTCAGGATAACAACACCAGAGCAACAGATTTTATTTCAGAGACGTCATTCATCCATTTGTCTCTCTCAGGTATTTCTAAAGTGCCACAGTCCCACTGCAGGATCTGAGCTCTGCTAGCACAACAGAAATTTACAGTATTCTACATCCCAGAGCTGGCAGCAGCATTTGGGCACCAGCTGGTAACCACACATCTGGCACGGAGCGTGCTAGGGATGCTCTGCTGGAATTAGAGTAACTAATTTGCTTTTTCCAGTAGCCTCCCAATATGACCCTAAGGGAGGAGCTAACTGGTAGAGAAGCCAGCGAGGTGGCTGCTGTCAAAGTGAACCTTCTGGTTCTTTCCTTTTTATAACTCCTCAATACCTTCTGAATTTGTCTCATAAGTTAATCATGAAGTGATTAAATCCCAGGAAGAAGAGAAGTATACCCTGTAACTTCTGCAACAGCAAAGGAAGTGTTGGTAGCCAGATTCTCCTCTTCATCTCTACGACCACAAAAAGTAAAGGGCAACTGGGCCAGGGGAAATTAATTATTTCAGTCAAGTGACACAGAATAGTCAAAACAAACAATGGCTTTGGAAAGGAACTCCAGTTATGTGCTTACATTGGTGAGCAATCCCATCCTAGCTGCTAGGGAACAGCTGTGAACCCTAAGGCCACTTTGATTTGGCATAGTTTAAAATAAATTAATAAATATCTTAGAAATAAATCCATGCCAATCCTTTTAATTTATAGAGCATTGCTAAGTATACACAGCACCTCACAAAGCATGGAGAAAGGAAAACAAATACCCTGAGGGTTGATGTGAAGGGGCAGACACATCTCATGAGGAAGGGTGAGAAAACATCTGCACCTTGGCCATGTGGCAAATGGCATCTGTTTCTAGTTCCAGGGAAAGAGGATGACTGGGCTTTGGGATGCAGAACTACCCCCTGGAACCCCCCCATAATTCCAGTCCATGCCTGGAATGCGTTGGGAGGAGGTGACTGAAAAGCGCAAAGGCATCACTATGTCCAGATATCTGTAATCCAGGGGACCTAGTGTGGTCACACCTTCATCCACTCCCTTGTAGCTCAGGCCTGGAGCAGGAGCTGCACCTTGGATCGCGCCCTGACCACACCCAGGGATGCTGCCAGCACCCGTGCCCCTCTGCTGAGACGTCAGGGGAAATCGTGACTGAAGCCACAGCAGCAGCACTGGAAAGGTTTCTCCCCCAAGTAGGTGAGGGCAGAGCTGTCACTCAAGCAAGTCCCACCCTTGGCTCTCTGCTCCACCGCAGCATCCTTGCTCCTCCAAAGCCTTCTGGGGCCGAGTCTCTGGGAGAAGGGACACATCCCCATCACAGCTTGGAGAAGCTGCCCTACTGAGAAAGTCCCTACAGAGCTCTGCTGCCCGCAGCCCATCCCGCTAGAGATTGGGCTTTCCTTAAACACCTCCAATTGTCCACCTCCTCCCTGGGCAGCCCTTTCCAGCAACTAATCACTCTTCCAGTGAAGAAATTCTTCCTAATGTCCAATCTGAACATTCCCTGGCAGTCTGAGGCAGTTTCCTCTCATTCTATCCTTTGTCCCCTGGGAGCAGAGCCCAACCCCCCCCAGCTGTCCCCTCCTGTCAGGGAGGTGTGCAGAGCCAGAAGGTTCCCCCTGAGCCTCCTTTTCTCCAGGCTGAGCCGCCCCAGCTCCCTCAGCTCCTCCTCATCAGATTTGTGTGCCAGACTTCTCCATCTCTGTTCCCTTCTCTGGACATGCCCCTGCCCCTCAATGTCCATCTTGCAGTGAAGGTCCCAGAACTGGACACAGGATTTGGGGTGTGGCCTCAGCATTGTCCCGTACAGGGCTGTCCTGCAGCCCCTGCTCTGCTGCGCAGCCTTCACAAGCTACCTTGCACTGCCACATTTTTCTGTTGTTTCAATTGTTCTCTTCACTTGACACTCCCCAATTATATTACAATTGTCTCTGAATACTCCCTCACATTCCACCCCCAGAAAGAAAGAGAAAGCTCTGGGGAGACCTTATTGTGGCCTTTCGGTATAAATAGTTTCCTCTCCATCTTTCATGTTGGCTCCCTTCAGATACAGCACAGGGTAAATCTTACCTGCCAATGTTTTAAGAACCCTCTGGCTTTTCAGGTGGGACATTTTCTAATGGCATCAGTGGGTTTTATTCTGCCAGCCGCTCCCGGCAAGACTGTGAGGGATGTCTGCCTGCACTGAGTGCAATGCAGTTTCCTTGAGTACCAGGTGGTGGCAGATTTGGAGTATATTAAATCAGTCCTTTCTATCTGTTTTGCAATGGAACCAAACTTCTTATGCGGGTTAAAGATGAAATTGCTACTGTTTCATACCTCTGACGCCACTTAAATGGCTTCAATTTAAAATGCAAAATCTCTACTTTCGAGTGTAATTAGTCCCTAAGCTGAAGTTATCAGCTATCAGCTGTTCTTATTCCTTTTCTGCTAAATCAAACTTTATCGACTAGACTTTTTGGGGAAGGGCTATTTATGACTGTGTCTACCTATTTAAACTAATTAAGTGCTATTGATTTAAAACATCTGTATGTGGATTTAATTCCTGTAAGGTCTGCTGTACCATGCAAAATAGCCACAGTATTAATTAGTATTTCCATAGCATTTAGGGGGGTACCAACACATTAAGTAAAACTGGGCTTTCTGAGGGAGGGTGGGCACAAAGGATGCTTGTGATAGTTTTATTTCTTGCTTTCATTCATACCAAGGAACTTCTTGGTTTTAGTTCTTTCTTCTTCAAACCAAGCAGCTAATCTGTGACTGCTGTAAAAATTTTCCTGAATGAAAAATAGAGTGACTATTATTTGAGTCTCATTGGGTTTGTGCAGCATTTCTGGTTTTTGCTCCTGTGGGCATCCCAGCATCACCACTGGAGCTTATGTTGTGCTGATACTCACCATAGCTTTTCAAGCTTTTTCCTGAGTCTGGCCTTCCCATGATAGATTCTCCATTCCTGTAAAGTGTGGTCTACCATCAGAGACAATTAAATCCTCTGCCTTAGAGAAATTCACTTTATTATTCTTCCTTGAAAAACAAGAAAATCCTCAAAACCAGGGAGTCTGCCAAGTGCAAAATGCATCTACAATATACTACCCAAACCAAAATGCATGGAGTAAAAATAAACATAGTAAATCAAGTTTTAATCCTAGTCCTAGACCCCTTTGATGCTTTTCCAATTGTTTGTTCATCACTATTTTTCAAGTGTTTCCAGGAAGCATTCATTCCAACAGCCATACTGTAAACATGCTTTATGCAATTCCTTAGTTTCCTTGGGAATGTGGTGGGCTTTCTTTTGTTCTGGAGATTTTGGAAAGCTGAAATTTGGGCCATACTGAGTTACAAAAAAGCAAAACCATGCAACAAATCATGCTAGATCTTATTCTCTATGAAAGTGCTTCCCATTTGAGGGAATTGCATCAATGCTGCTCTAGACTTGAGAGTTGTCACAGGAAACACCGTTTCTCTTTGTATTTGCACAATATCTAAGTACAGCTGTCTCTACCCAGTTCAAGGTCCCAAAGAAGCTGCAGTTGTATAAATAAAACACAGTTGTAGGTCCACACCTGCTGGGTTTTTCACATACTGCTGCTAAAATTAGACTGTACAACTGATTTTGAGAAGAAAAAGTTATTTTGGCCACAACTCCTGCTTGTTAAGAAAGAAAGAACTGTGTGTAATACTCAAGCTGATGAATTTGTTATCCTCTGGTGACCATGCCATTGAGATCTTGGGCACTTGCACATTCCAAATAGCTCTGCTGACATGGAAAATCAACCACTTTGGCCTGACTTGGGTCTCAAAGATCATCTAGAACCTGCCATAGGATCAGGGAAGATGAGTTGCAACACAGGCTCATCTCTGTTCTCAGTTTAAGCTGTATGTAAATGAAGGGCAAATGCACACCTCCTTCTCTTGCTGTTGTTTCAAGTTTTATAATTTGGCTCAATTTTTCAGAAAGATTAACAAGTATAGGGGATGATTAATTAGAACCAAGGCTGCCTAAAGGAACAACAACATATCCACTCTCTGAGCTGGAATCCCTGCATAACCAACTTGATAAAAGTACTTATTCCATGACGACCTCTTGTCACAACTGAATGAGGGTTTGGAAGATGAAGCATCTCAAATTACCACAGAAGATACCCTATATACAGCTACTGAATTGTCTAAACTGAAAAGGAAATATAGCTGGGAACATGCTGAATTTATCTGGAACTGAACGTCACACTGCCATCCACAGTGCCTTATCCTCCACTGAGGAGGCACAAGCTAAGACAAAAGAAGTGATCAAGCTGGAGAATTATTTCAGTCTATGTAACCAAGAGCCTGGTTTGATGGATTAGAACCTGGATCATGGGCAACTACCCTGCTAAAGCCTTTTAGGGTTTACAGGACAGAGAAAATGGTTAGGATGAGTTGGAAATGCAATTGTCACTGGATTTGTTATTTTTAAATGTTGGCATTAGCCTAGTTAAGTGCATGATAACACATTTACCTTGGCATTTCCTACTTTCCTATTTTGTCTCTTTCCTCCTTCATGAAGGAAAATAAAGGTGAGTAATCGTTTTGGATCCCAACATTTAAACTCATTTGTGTTTGAATCTCACTTTTGGGTGTGTTGAGAACCTAACTCCTTTCAACAGCTGTGGATTGAGGCAAAACTTACTTTTTTTTTTCCTGCAGAGTACCAGAAAGTCCCAAAAGTTAACTGATGCAGAGTGGAGGTGTCTTCTCCATCACCACTAATGAATGATCATTTTCAGCCCTAAAAATTTTGGGCTGAAGACCTTTGTAACTTTTAGAATATAATTAATTAATACCTTATATGCAACCACATCACAAAAACCATGATGTAACTTAGCTGAAATAATTATCCTTGCCTTGCATGATTAAGAAATCAGGATCCAATCCAGACTAACAAGGCTAAAAACCTTAAAAGACTGCTGGGCCACCAGCCACATCAATCTTTAAATTCATGGATCCATATTAAGACCTCCTAAATGCCATCCAGGATTAATATTTCATATTGGCTGTCTCTTTTTCTAGAGTTATCTTGCCATAATAAATTGTGTGATTAAGATGTAATATGGGGTTATACATTACTTTTTTTATTATTCTACTTGCTGACCTCCACACAGCTACCAGCTTCAGGAACTTCCATTCACAACAGAAATACCTCAATTATCTGCCTGAGTGCACAATTTCTTCAGGTGCACTTTAACCAGCAAACTTTTTCAAAATTCTCTCCTGCTGCCAGCTTAGTAACTTCATGAGTTCTTTTCCTTTTCTCTGATGAAAGAAAATGCTTCTGAAAATCAACAGGTTATAGCAAAATTGGACAGATTAGTGCCAGTTTTAGAGATCTGGAATTCCAGTTTCTTCTCAAAAAAACTGCCCTCAATTTCCTGTGTTTTCAGATCATTATTTCTTATACTAGTACCATACTGTTGTTGTTATTATTATTCAAAGACAAGAAAATGAAGCCAGGACACCTTCAGATTTGTGATCAGCAGAGAAAGGGAAAACCCAGACAAAAGCTGCCAGGACCAACAACTCTGGCAGGCCTTGGACTCCCAGGGCCCACATCTATGTAGTATTTTAGGAAGGACAAAAACTCACCAAAGATTCACTTCTAACAGGAGTAGAACATTTTAATAATAAACACCATAAACCAAACTGAAAAACAAACTTTAATCACAGATTTCATGAGGAGATTCTACTTTATGCAGAATGACATTAAAGATCAAAAAAAGTTATGAACAGTACTCCTCAGTTTCCATGGAACAGTAGTAACTCTTATTGAAGCTCTGAAGCCTGGAGGCACAGGTTTCTAAAATGCTCAACTAATGGAAATTACACCTCAATGATACCAGCACAAGATCACATTGAAAGGATGCCCTTTAAAGCCTCTTGATTTGGCTTAAATCAATATCCTGATGAGTCAAGACTAATCAAAAATCCCACATAGTAGAAACAAGTGTGTGATTTTCACAGTCTGTAGTCACACAGCAGGAGTGACATACCTTGCCCCACAGTTTTAGCTTTAAGACAGAATGTCACATACTGTCAACAAGAAGATGATTTGTTAAGAGAACCAGTGTTTCCTGTCCCAAAATCTAAACCTTATTTTATTTTATTAATTACTAGAAGTGCAATCCTTTTAACAAGGTAGCATAAGAAACACAACTACAAGCCACAAAATGAACCATGCACAAACACAGAATCAGTTCAAGAGAAAGACTTCTTGGCAAAGATACAAGCCCCTAAGTTTCTTTATCCCAGTTCAAAGGTAAAGGAAGTTTTTTTGCTCTTTTGAAGCTTAAAGGTTCTGAGACTGCCCAAGTCTGTCGCTGACAGAACAAAGTAGACCACATCAACATGTTTTAAAACTCTGCACTTTTCAACCCTGACAGGCCCAATGTCAGGGAAAAAAAATAAATAAAAAATAATAATAATAAAAAAATAATTGTTTCGTCTGCTGTTTTCACAAGATGTAACACCTGAGCTTCTCAGTGTTCATTATTTACCCCACTCCTACCCCTAACTAATATGTAACAGCCAAAACCATGTAATAATCCAAATAGGATATGACAAGAGTATCTAAACCCAGGCTCAACTGAGTTCACCATTGATCAAAAGAACAAGTGCCCTATAAAACAATTTGGCTTTTCCTCATGAACTCTTGGTAAGCAAGGTAGACTTGAAAGGTGGTACTTTGTTGAGGGATTTTTGGTTTGCGTTTTCAGTTGTTCATTTGGAGGGGGATTTTTTTGGAGGTGGGGAAGGGGTTGTTTGTTTTAAACAAGAAGCAGAAAGTATTTTTTTTCTATTTTCAGCAGTGGTGCTGGCCTGAGAATCAGCTAAGTCAAGGACACCTAATTTAAAGACTTCCTAAAGGAAGGAAGCTTTTTCAAACAGACACTGGGAATAGGGGTGCTGTTAAACTGAACATCGTTACATAAGCATCTTGTTTCCCTCTATATAAATCAGACTTAACAGGAGATACTTAAATCATCCCTAAGGAGTTTATCATTAGTTTCAACTCATTTAGGAAAGCACATTTTGAAATTGAATTGCCCAAGCACATGCTGAAAGCCAAATCAGGTAAAAAAATACACTCAAGTTTGATGCATTATCTTGTATATGAATGTCACACTTCACTGCATCCCAGTGATAAAGATCTCTTGAGCTGCCACTCCTGGCCAAAATCCCTGCAAGCTACAGGGCAGGTATTTGATCAACTCCTGGTTGCTGATGCATCTGAGGGTACAGTCAGCACCTTCACAAGTACAACAACTGCTACACCACAGCCCCAGAGGTCACCTGCCCCTAACAAAACAGTCCAGAACAGTCACACACGTTTACACTGAACATGTTCCCAGCACAATGCTGAGCAATCTGCGGAAGTCACAGGATCTTGACACATTGGAAGCTGAGGTGCAGGCACAGCTCCAGAGGTAGATAAAAGGGATAAGGCACTGGCACCTTCACAGGAGAGGAGACTGCTGGGATTAAGAAGGGGGGAAGAAATGGTTGCTGCAGCAGCTGCCTGCTGTCCTAGCAGGAGTCCTAAGCTGTAAACGTTGGAATTCAGGAGAGCATTGCCTGGGAGCAGCATATTCAGTTGCTTCTGAATTTCCTGAAGCACTTGCAGCTGACTTTGCTGATTCAGGAGAAGCATATCCATATTTTCCCTCATTTTCTTCACTGTACAAAGAGAAGGGACTGTTAATGCCTGCTATGTAAATACATGAGGCAGTTTAGAAGTATTTTTGTACTTACTCTCTTCAGAAAAAACATTCCAGTGATTCACCTCACTTTCCTCTGCACCACACCTTTGCTCTCCTTTTTGATGCAGAGATGTAAATTCAGGTTGGTTTGCATCTAAAAGGAAGACACTGCAAGTCAAGAATTGCAAGGTCCGTATTCTAAACATGGCAGCTCAGCAACAACCACCCACATGTTAAAATTCAAACCAGAGAATAGGCAGATACAGAGGTTTTGGATTTTTTTCTTTTTTTTTAGGGGGTGGGTGGGGTGGTGCACAGGGAAAGGAAGAAGCAAATCTTCCTTTTAACAAGGGATCTGTTAAGGAAAAGGACAGTTGAAATTTAGTAAAAATAGGTTTGTATTTGCATGCTTTCTTTAGAAGCTGATACAGTGTTAGATTAATCTGATACTACTCAGTGTCCAACGGACAGGGCAAAAATGAGACTTTTCTTCAGTAACTATAAACTCATCTTGTAAAACCTATGAAGAAAAAACAAGCTTTAGGAGTGTAAGGTTCCATTCTTAGGGTTCCTAGGCCACCTCTCTGTATATATGGACTGAGAGGCCTCAAACCCTACATTAAGAATTCAGTTTTGCCATTCTGTCACAATTGTAACTTCATCATTATTCCCATTGTTAAGGTGAAAGGCTCTTCTTTTTTTATCCCAGAAGAAACAAAAAAAACAAACTACAAAAACCAAAGAAAAACCTCACACACAAAACACCTGCTTCCCATGCCAACACCCCCAATAATTCTGTGGGTGTCTAGGCAAGACCCAAGATGAAAATTTAAAACATTTTATATATAAAAGGGACAAAGTGACTGCCCATGTAAAGGTACAACAACAGGGAAAAACACCCCACAATGCCAGTTTTTATCCCTGAGTTTCAGGTCATTACTAGAGCATAAAATACTGCAAAATCCTGAAAACTCCCTGCTTGAAACAAGCCCTTTGATAGCCTTTGTTGTGCTAAGAATATTCCAGAAACTTCCCACTACAGACAAGAAGCTAGGATTCAGTATCTACACTGAACAAAAATTAGCTGCTAGGGATGACTAAGGCACTGTTCACTGCCTTTTGCGGGTCAAAATTCCTTGCATCTCCCTAAGGTTAGCATTTTGGTGACTGAGCATTTGAAGATCTAAGGCTAGACATGAGGCAACACTATGAAGCAGGAATTAGTGAGATCTGAGAGCTCTGGGGAATCTAAGGTGCCAGGCAACCTTCGTGGTAACACCTAAACTTCAGCTTTTTCAAGTAACTTCCTCAGACAGCAGAGATAAATGCATTATATTAGCGATGGGGGAAAAAAAAAGGTAACAAAATCAAATCAATCAACCCAAGCACTCATACCCACAGCAAAGAGGGAGAATTGTTTAGGAAGAAACAGAGACCAGAATATTTCATTAATCCCCTGAGATTCTGTATAACTTGAAATAAACACAATTAATCCAGTTACCTGCTTTGTGTTCACTGGGTCTCTCTCTTAGATGCTGGTGTCTGATGAAGTTTGAGCTCACATTGAAGCTACTTCCACGCTCTGAAAGCCTACAGGGTTTCTCATCTGTATGGACTCTCTGATGCTGCAGCAGAGCTGTGTTCCCACTGAAGTCCTTTCTGCACATGGTGCAGGAAAAGGTCTTCTTTTTCAGGTGGGTTTTGTGGTGAGCAAGGAGGCTTGAGGCACGGCCGAAGGTTTTCTCACATTCCTTGCATTTGTAAGGCCTCTCCCCTGTATGGACTCTCTGGTGAACCACCAGGTTGGCCTTCCTACTGAAGCTCTTACCACATTCTGCACACACAAACACTTTTTCTCTTGTGTGGATTTGCAGGTGGGTCAGGAACCTGCAGCGCCCCTTGAAGCCCTTCCCGCACTCTGGACACTTGAAGGGTTTCTCTTCCCAGTGCAGTTTCTGACCATCAGCACCAAGGGCAAGTTTCCTGGAGTCTCTTTTTTTATGAGGATAATCATCACAGGCTGCCCCCCTCTCTGGGCTCTGGGCTTCACATACCTCAGGCAGCTCTTCTTGCTTAAGGTCTTCAGGGAAGCCTTTCTCCTCCTTGTTGTCCCCTGATGGAGTAAGAGACCCATCTCAACCCTCCTCTTTCCCTGAGTCAGACAAGCTGCTCCTTGTAAAATAACTCAATTTCTTAGGCCTACACTCAGCTTACACCAGATTCCCTTTTCCCAAAGAGGAATGGAAATTCTAAAGACTCAGAGAAGAAGGGGGAGAAAAGTGGCAAAGGGAAAAAGAGAAAGAAAAGTTCCTCTTCTCTTCCTTCCTCTCCCCGTGTCCTTGTACTTCTCTTCAGAGAATCACTACCAAGAAGAAGAAGGAAAGGAACATGCTGAAGCATCTCACCCATCCCAAATGTCTACTTTTAGCTATTTGCTCCCACAGACTTAGCTCAAAAGCTTTCCAGCCTGCTAAATTATCATTAACACTCTGTTTCAAAGCTGGGCATTTGGGTAGGGATCTTTCAGCACAGCAGAGCCCATGTAACTCTCACTAGGCAAGACCAGCAGGAAGATTTTGGTTGTTTCTCACTTCGTATTTACAAAAAAAAATACATTAAATTATGTCTTTTGTAGGTTGGCTTACCAGTTTTTTTTTCTCTGTCATAATATTTGTAATAGCTGTATATTTATGCATCAGAAGTCAAAGGGCTCTTTATTGAAAAATCAGCTAATTCCCAATTAACTATTACGATCTCTTTTCACAGACAGATCCAACACATTTACTTTCCTTGCAATGACAAGCTAAATTAATTGCATTCTGAAGAAACTCATTCAACAAAACATGCAAACATGTTGAATTTCTAAAGGTGAATGTTTAGCATGTTCAATTTTTTCTTTCTTAAAGAAAGCAACCTGTTTATTTCACAAGTGTATATGCACCACCACACACCCCATAGTAAGCTCTAGGTATCTTACCCAGATGGGTAGATCTTATGTTTACAGCTGTTCAGCATTAACAGGATTATAAGGATCACCTAATAAACACTTAGCCAAAGCTGATTTTTGCAAGCAACTTCAGGTGTTTACTATTAATTCAATCAGAAGATTTAGCAATTCGCATCTCTGATCTAGCATTAAAATAGTACTCACACATTTAACACAAAAAAAGTTTGTTTAATCCACGAACAAAACCAAACCAGGCTTTCTACATTCAAGATAAAACTCTGCAGGGCAATTTCAGCCCTACCTCTATGATACAAAGGAATAAAATTCTTAAGTAACATGCCCTTGAAGAGGCAAAATGCTCTGTCAATATGGACACAGCTACCAACATCTAAACAGCAGCAATAAAATAAGCGAACTTGCTGACAGCGGGAGCCCTCTCTCTTACATCAAGGAATTACACCCCAGAGGGAGCTTTCTTCCAGAAGGAGGAAGAAGGCTCTCCCTGGCAAGAGCACCCATTCCTCACGCTACAACCAGGAGGCTGGTATTTCCCGAGAGCCTTGCAGGTCTGACAGTGACAGGGAACCACAGAATCCTCCATTCCCACCCACACCCAGAGCTGGGCACTCACACACTTTAGATGCAGCTCCACAACTCCCTTACACCCTCCTCGCCTGTGAAAAACCCTGGAAAAGGGACGTGTGCTGGCTGCCTGTCGCTCCTAATGAACGGCGTTATCTTACTTTAGCAGAGGTGCTGGAAAACCGCAGCAGAAAGAAACCCAGAACGCCACTGCGTTACCTCGGCCTGGCATGGGGATGGAATTCCGCTTCCCCCCGGAACTTAACTAGCAAGAGTTTACATCTCACCTGGATATCCTACAGCACCCCTCCTCCCGGGGCTCTGGAGAAGGGAAAATACAGACCCCATTGCTGGCTCCATCTAGAAGAGGAAAGGACAAGGAACGTGGAACCTTTTTCCAGCAGACAGGAGCAGAAAGGGAGGGACGGACGCTGGTACAGGACACTTCGGCAGTCCCATGCCCTGACACCGAGCCCCCCGGGACAGAGGACAACCCTCCACAAACACCTGAAGCTGGGCGAGTCGTTCTCCCAGAAACCAGCGTAATCGGAAGCGCCTGCTCCTAAGCTGTCTCCCTGGGAAGCACCGAACAGCCCTCGGGCTACGGGCCCACCTCACACTCCTCAGCTCTCCTCGTGGTTCCTGCTCTCGCTTAATTCGCGCTTTAATCCCGGGCGGCTCCGCCCTGGCCCGGGCCGGCTCCGGGCCCCGCTCCCGCGCCTGCTCTGCCGGGCCTT